ATATATATATTTGCATTGATAAGCCTGAGTGGTCTGTTGACTGGTCGTTTCTTCAAATAATTGTTATGCTGCTTTTAACATCATGGCCAGGGGACTACAGATGAAAAATAGCCGTTTGGCTAATTCTGGCTTTTTTAACGTATGAATTGTCATATGTTTTATTAAATTGCACTGTCCCCTTTTAAATAAATAATAATAATATGGGCAGGTTACAATATAAAAAAATTGTTTGTCATAATCACATCTTGTGATTATTTGACAGGAGTTTTAGTTTTAAACTGTAAGTGTATTTAATTCAGCTATAATGTATATACAATAAAAGATTTAGAATAATTATCATTTTGATCCATACACTCGTAATGTCTGACTGGGACTCGTGCCACTTTATGTTCAATAAATTGGGCCCTGAGGTCAAAAAGGTTAAGAACCCCTGCTTTAGATCCTTAAAGATTTGAGATTTTACATTTTAATTCCTGTCTTTAGTACTGTACTCAGTGCTCTGTTAGCAGTAAGCAGTTTTTTCTCCTCTGGCTGTAAGACTGAATCTGTAACAAGCTTTAAACTGAGCAAATATCTGTTCAGGACAAAAGTCAGTCAGCATGATTTTGCTTTCAGGCTCCACCCCGTCTCGCGCAGCTGGATTTTTAGGCACGAGCAGCCCGGGTCCGATGGCGGACCTTTATGGAACCGCCAGTCAGGAGTCGGCTGTCAGCAGTTACCTCAGCGCTGCGAGCCCTGCACCAAGCACCGGCTTCAGCCACAGCCTGGGGGTGAGTTACTTCATCGTCACTGTCGAGTCATTTAAAGTCTGCAGGTACATCAGTGCATGGTGGATAAAATGAGACGATGCTGCGAACGTCTGACTGCGATTATGTGCTCATCGTTTTAACACACTGTGTGAGCTAAAGGCTGGCTGGTCCCACATTACTAGACTCAAACCATGAAAACACTACAAGGCTCTTTCACTTGTAAAGATTTTTATTTACATATCAATGTTTTATAGTTTGGAAAAAAATGTTATATCTGCCTTAGTTAGCTACAAAAACACTTGTGGTGTTGAAAATATGTTTCATAAAATTGACTCGTAAAAGTGTATAAAAAATACACAGATTTTGCTCAAATTTAATGTGCTTTATCCTTTACATCTTCAGTAGGGCTCAAACAGACAATTAAAAGCATAATTTCTCGAAGGAGTACGTATAAACTGTCATGTCAGAGTTTTAAGGGGGACATATATGGAACTGCCAAATAAGGTGGGGACTTTTTTTGGTCTTCATTCTCCTCTGGCTCTGGGTCAGACTCTGCCTCCAACATGTAAGGCTGGATGGATAGTTGTTGTTGTTGTTGTTGTTATTGACATCTTTTCATTAATTTTAAAAAATAAATAAATAAATAAATAAAAAGTTTCTGTGCTGCACGATTGTCGTAAACCCCTCTATCAAATTAGAATGAACCGTACTGGAAGCTGGAGGTGGGCGGGGCTTGAAGCATCTCATTTGGATTTAAAGAGGCAGCACCAAAACGAGTTAATCTGAGACACACCTCAGAAAAGGGGCGAGGCTTGTAGAGTTACAATAAGGAATTCAGACCAAAGCATTGCAGTTCCACTTTATAAAGACCCCAAGTAAATGATTTAAATGTGAAAAAGAAGGATTTAAAAGCATGTCTCCATTACAATAGAGTTTTTATGTTGAAAAGGGACAGAGGTCTTCTTGCAAGATTTTGCAATTTTGCATGAATGTATCTATATATATTCATGCAAAAGTGCAAAATTTCAAGGAAGTATTATTCCTCAGTATGTGTTGGGGGTGATGCTTAGTTAAAACCACAAAAAACTGAAGCTCAATATCTTTAAAACTGACTGGATGGGGAGTAGAAGAAAAAATGATAGATAGATAGATAGATAGATAGATAGATAGATAGATAGATAGATAGATAGATAGATAGATAGATAGATAGATAGATAGAT